CTTTAAGAAAGACCCCATGCCCTCATTAAGACAAAATGAAAACGGGCATACACACAAAAGTGCGCAGACACCACATTAAGCAACATTGATGAAATTATGCCAACTAGTACAGTGCAAATTCTTTATTAAATCCACCCACAGAATAGGTTTCCATTGAAGAAACACCTCTGCCAGGTCCTACAGTCTAGGAAGGAGCACATTTTCCCCTCGGTATTAAAAATCTACTTCACAGGACCTGTCAGATCTACATGACCCCAACTGGATGGCATTCCCCTACATATTGTATTGTGGTGGGGGGTTGGGAGGGGAGGGTGTTTAGAGTGCATGGGAGAGGGTAGAGAGGGCAGAAGGGAGGGAAGGAGGGAGGGAGGGCTTGGGGGGAGGGAGGGAGTGAGGGAGAGGGAACTGGGATCGACATGTAAAATAATAATAATAATAATAATAATAAAACGCTTTGACTCCAAAATTTAAGTTGAAGAACAAGTTACTGGGGAAAAGTATTTCTATTTTTGTTTCCACAGAAAATGAAAAGATGTGGATTCCTTCCAGACTAATGTGGTTTGATCACACCAGACCGCCTGAAACAGAGTACAAGCTGATCCTACATTCCAAACAGCTGGACAGGACAGCCCTGCAGACTACAGCTAGGATATCTGAATCTTCTTCGAATCCCCCAAGACAGCGCCCCTTACCAGCAGGAAGTAGTTTGGAAAGAACGACGCCCAAATTCCCAAATATTGTGTATAAATGTTTGTTTTCATTTAATTGGACTTTGTTATATAAAATTAAATAAAAAATACTCTATATGCATAAAAAAAAATCTCCCATCTAAACGAGTCCCATTAAAAACTGTCAGCAAGATAAATGCTGTTAAGTTAGAGGGAGAGTTAGACACCGAGGACCCAAGCGAAGAAGATGGCAATGAAATCTGTGATGACAACCCTTCTGGTCAGCCTTCTAGCGTGGCGCATAGCCTTTCTCCTTTGGTAGCTGTGCAGGGCGTCTGACTGATCCAGAGCATCCCCACACAGCCATTTGATTGGTAGAGACACACTGTCATTTCCACAGCAAACAAGTCTGTCTTCCCCAAGATCACTAGGAAGCTGAGGCTTGTTAGAAACTGTCTCCAATTTCTACAACACACTGCTGTCCCCAAGGGCAGGGAGTCCCAGAACAAAGGCCCACTCAGATTCCATTGGTCCCAGTCACAGATGCCTTGAAAGACCCAGAGCACAGCATCTGGACGGAACTTGCCACCAGAGCCGTCCAGGCCTGGTCTTCACATTCTTCTCTCATTCTGTATGAACTACAGAGATGTGCCTTTGTCCTTCTGACAAATGTGACACCCTAAGGTACGGTACCAGGCAGAACAGCTTCCCTGCCAGTGAGGTGTGGAAATCACTCTTCACTATTTATCTCTCCTGACACTATCCACTCAATAAACAAATGTACTATGAGCAGAGGTTGACACTTGAGCCCTTGATTAAAGGCGTGCGCCACCCAAGGAAGATATTCTTGAGCCTTGACTGTTTAAAGATCCCCGCATCATTTATGTTTACTGTGGCATTATTCACAGCAGCCAAGATATGAAACCGGTCTACAGTCCCATCAACAGATGAAAGGAAATGCATCGTAAACACACAAGAAGAATAAAATGATGTCACCTGCAGGAAAATGGATTCAACTGGAAGTCGTCATGCTAAGTGAGATAGCCAGATCCAGATAGATAAATATTATGTTTTCTTTTATATGCAGTATCAATCTCTCTCCCCCCCCTCCCTATCCTCCACTCTCACATACATGGGCACACACACATGTGAAACCAGAAGAGGGATTATTGGGGGGGGGGAGAAATGAGGAAAAGGGGAGATAATGGGGAACAAATATGACCAAAGATGATGATTATACAAGAATAAAAATATCATGATGAAACCCATTAGTTTATATGTTAAATAGCATATTTCATAAGTAGGCCTGCTATAAATAGACCACTAGGTAGGTCCTGGGGATCGAACTCAGGTTGTTGGACCCATCTCACTGACACTTACAAACAATATTTCAAGGCTTTGACTATTGAAATTTTTGGTCATTAAGGCTATAATACTCACTTCTTAGCTTTTATTTAAAAAAACATACTTTATAGATAAAGGTACTTGAAAAGCATTTTAAGTGTCTGGTATGTGCCGGGGGAAAAGGTTCATGTTATACTTATATTACCCACCCCCCCATGAAGTATACATGTCTTTTTACATGCTCGGAGACGACCTAATTTGTTACCTCAGAGTTGAAAGATGCCATTTGTAGTAGGAACGTGACTTCCAATTACACAGCATTCCATCACATTCTGAACTATTTTAAAATTCACTAAAAGGGCAAAAGGCTGTGAGCTCTATCTGAGGTCCAAGCTCATAGGGCTATTGAAAGCTCCCATACAGATCATTTGCAAAGATGAAAAGAATCCTACCTTGCTCGGTCAGTCAAAAACCCACTAAACATGAAAGAGACCCTCTGGCTATGGACTCCCATCTCACCATGAAGGGTGTGGTTGGCGATTTTACTTTCAATTTGTTTTCATGTTTATTGCCTCATCTAATTGGTGAACAATGAAACACAGGGACCAAACATAAAGAAAGGAAGGGCAGTCCCATTGTTCCTTTGTTTGGGGGATGCTGACAGCCAAAATCATATCTGCCCTTTTAAATGTTAAAGATAAAAATGGCTGAGCTGCTTAAAGGAGCAGTGAATGAGACAGTCACCATGGCAGAAGGGACAGGGGCCCAGAGATTGAAGGAGTGAGTAAAAACACCAGGAGAAATAGCAATGCAGATGAGTTGATCAGAACACACAGTCAAATGCTCCAAAAGCTTTAGGGTTCAGGAATGATGCACAAGTCATCGTTATTGAATCCTTATCTGGTAAGAGAAAGAAAAATGTGACCTATGTATTTTGTATTAGTTTAAGACAGCATCTCTGCTCATGCGGCAAAAGGTATTTTCTTTGTCCATATAACTGGCGTGCGGAACCCAACCACCCAGATTACAGGGTTCTCTTCCTAAGAATCGGTTAGCGGGGATAGGTCAAATTGAACTGTGGGCATCTCTTAAATCGGTGTCTGTATCAATGATACCCAGGAAATCTCACTGTCCACTACCCTATTGACAAAACCTCAACTTGAGCCATGGAGGTTCTGTTCATATGGTATGTATAGCTAGAATGTACACCCCTTCCAGTAAAATTCATTCAATTGGGAACGCCACTAATCGACAGTAAAGCAGAGTGAAACAAAAGGGTTAAGTTGGGCAGAGAAAGCCAAGGCTCACTCCTGGCTCACCCTGTGTTCAAAAGCTCACCGACATGTGCGCAGAGAGGGTTAACATGTCCACACAGAGGAAAGGCAGAACAACTTGGACGGCTCAAGTAGTACTGATAGGGTGAAACTTGGATAGGAAAAGCCACCTCTCCCTATCTGGTTTTTCTCATTCATATCTTATTTCTTCTCCTCCAAATTTTACAAGTGGCCGTGACAAAGGAACAGAAAACCAAAAATCTTCATGGAATAACAGCTGAGTAACTCAAGGACTCTCTCTTAATAGACGTTTTGATTTGGTGAAAAAGTTACTAAGAAAATGATAAAAATGAGTACAAACCAATAACAACTTTAATAACATTAGGTTTCCTGAGAGGCTGTAAAACTGTTGGCAATCTCACAAGTATTTCTCCTGAAGCACAAATGACTGTCATGGTTGGAAGTTAGAAAGTGAGACACTTCAGTCCCTTTGGTACCACATACTGTTTTGGTTGACCATCCGTTAGCTTTCTATTTTTACTGGGAGTGATGTCATAGCTGCCTTTACGACACAGTGTCTGGATCCTTCATCGGTGGGACTCAACACATGATCATGCTCTTTAAAGTATTTTCCTGAAGCCATAATCATGCGTGTACTTGGTGGCGAGTATGTTCATCAGCAAATATCCCACGATATTCTGAATCACATTTTCTAAAACGAGCTAGCTCGGTGGCACACACCTGTAAATCCCTGACCTTGGGAAACTGAGGTAGGGGGCTCAGCCCAGGAGCTTAGGGCCAGGGGGAAAAAAAAAATCTAAAACAGGCTTTAGTTACTAGAAAAATGAAGGGTTATGGTTCATCACTAGGCAGCAAGATGAGTAGCTTTGTAATACATAGACTTACCCTAGAAGTATTAATGTTCTTAAGATTGAGTTAATATCTGAGCTCTATGTAATCTTTACCCCTGGAAATATAACTCACAGCCAAATTAATAATTGAGTTTTCAGGGGAGGTGATCTGGCACATAAGCTGAGCTAAGTTCCCACAGAATAATATATACAAATAATTAATATGGTAATCATTTATGTAAATTTATGCAAATCTTGTGCATTCTAAAAGTGAACAGAAAAGAAAATCATGACAAGCCCAAGGATTTTTCTTTCCCCCCCATTTACTGCCTCCACCCACAACAATGACTTTGGGGTCTTTGCCAGTTCTACCACCCAGGCCCCATACTCCAGTATACAGAACTCACAGCCTCTCTGGGGTGGGGGCAGGATGACCGGATCAGTAGTTTCAGAAACTTCTAGACAAACTCACAGAGTTGCGGTTGGAGTCACAACAGTTGATTTCAGAGACATCTAGCATCTACTCACCAAGAAGCTTGGGGACACTTTCTATCCCCATTATCATCTGTTCCACTAGCCGAGCGGCACCCTGAGACCCCTGGTGTGGGATTTAGCAGAACTGTATGATGGTTGAATATGTGCACGGCATCATCACCAATGACCCGACACAGTTGATTTGCTGTGCAACTATTAACTACTCAATTGACAGCACTGGGTTGCTCTTAAGAATTTGTTTTAGCATTCTCCTCTGGCATTATCAAAGACATCACCCCCACCCCAAACAAAGCCCCTCTCTTTCCTCTACGTTTTGCAAGCCCATTTCTCCTGCTTGACAAACTTAAAAGCCTGTAGAGTCTGCTTACCTCCACAATGCTTTTTAGATCTTGCACGTAGGTCCTCTCTGTCTCCAGGATTTCCTGTACCACTCTATCCACATAGAGGAGCTTGGGGCTGCTGTCCGAGTCTGCGGTGGTTTGTGGTGTCCTGTTCGTCTCCACTCTCCATGGGGTCCCGGGCTGCCTCCCGCTGACCCCATCCATGTCCTGTGGCCCGGAAGGGTTGTCCCTGTGCAGCTCGCTGCTGGAAAATGGCCGCGCTGGGACCAGCTCCAGCTTTATGGCCCCGGCTTCTTTATCCTGGTGAAATAAGCCCAAGTGGCTATTTGAAACCAAAGTCATTCTGCTGCCAAAGGAACCATGGCTGTCCCTGGAGGAGGCCGAGGATGAGGTGGAGCCAAAGCTGATGGGTCGGTCACTGTCCGAAAGCTCCATGGTCTTTGGTTCTGGGGACGGGGAAGGGTCAGCTGTGGTCCTGGGATCGGGAACTGGCGTTACAGTTGATGGCACGTCAGGTTGCAGCCGGTGAAGTCCATCTGCTTCCATGGCAGAGAGATAGAGAAGACAAAGGGAAGGTCAGTGAGCACCCTCTGAACAGAAGGAGGAAAGGAGGTCAAACCCCACCGCAGGTGCAGAGCATCCTTATAATGAGAGGCAGCAAGCGAGCTCAGAAAGGCAGGCTGAGACGGAGGAGGATGGGTGCTGCGAGCAGCCTCTGAGGGCTGGAAATGCAGCCTCGGGCTCTGCCCCAGGCCTCCCGACCTTGATTCTGCAACTTAACAGATCTCAGAACCAGCCAGGGTACCCTAAACGGTGAAGCAGGGCATCCATTGGTCTCAATGTGCCTCATATACACAGATGATCCAGATTTACCAACTTAAAGCCTCAGCGGTCAGGACACAAAGAACAGGCAACTTTAATCAACACCACCGATGCTTCTTACGCCGAGAAGGGAGCCTGATCATACAGGGACCAGAAGGGAGCCTGATCATACAGGGACCTGCCAAAGGTTGTTTTAGATTTTAAGTCTTCCGACATAATTCCACCATGGAGGCTGGGTTTAAGGGATACTGACCCATGCGCATTCCACACACACAGCACTGGAAATAGAGCTGCGTGGGCTTTTTTTCTTTTTTTATATATCAGCAGGGCACAAAATCCAAACTGAAATAATAACACCCACATCCTACCTCAAACTTATCTTTCACCCTAACCTGTCCCTAAAGCACAGCAGGCCTACAGGACGGCTCAGCTGGTAAAGACACCACACAAAGCTCAACTACACGACTTTCTTTGAACCCCAGGATCACAAGACAGAGGGAAACAGAGAACTCTGGCCAGCTGGTCCCACATTTCCAGCTGGTCCAGAAGATGCTTCAGCGTGCTTATATGGTCTCTCATTACATCTTTGTTTCTACAATGCCATCCGCCCATCCTCTCTCTCTCACACACACGCAGAAATAAATACGTAAATTTATGTCATAGGAAATTTACCTGCCTAAGACAAGCAGATAAACACGGCTATTGTAGTATCTGTTAAGTCACGGTTATCCAGGAGCTATCGGAGTAACTCCAGCAGTCCACACACCAAGTCATAAAACAACAGTTTAAAATTAGGAACTAAATGATGAGAAAAATTAAGCACAGCTGGGTTGTTAGTATCTATGGGAAAGAACAAGGTGAGGCCGGCTGCCAAGGGAGAGGCGACAATATGAGAGGTAGAAGAAAATTATCTTGGGTTCAAAAAGGCTGGACCTGAACTTAAAATTTGCTCTTATGAGACACACAAGAATCCAAATCCTTTTAGCTGTCAGGGCAGGATCAGTATTTCTCCCCATAATAATGAGATTGTGCCTTATTGACAAGGGATTTGATTAACGATGGCAGGTCACCTCACTACCAAAATCCATGTTTATAGGTTTTGTTTGAAACAAGAGGGGTGTGGGTTATGCTGGAAATATTAATATAACAGATGTATTAGAAATATAGATTCAGGGTCACCTCCCCCCACCCACCCACCCAAGACAAAGTTTCTCTGTGTAGCACTGGCTGTCCTGGAACTCACTCTGTAGACCAGGCTGGCCTTGAACTTAGAGATCCACTTGTCTCTGCCTCCTGAGTGTGGGGAGTAAGGGCGTGCACCAGCACTTATGGTCATTAGTGATAGGAATGTGAACTTATTTGACTTTATAATAAACATCAAACAGCTGGTATCAATATTAATTAGAGTGTAATCCCGTCAGCTCCCCCATCCTTTCCCAAAACTACATGCACAGAAAATATTAGTGCTAATCTATGAAACCAATGTTAAAAGTGTGAATACAACACGAATGCCCTCACTTCCCTTCACAGTAAGAAATGCACAGGAAACGCACCCAGAAAGACCGCCACCACATGGTATGAGTTCACTATGAATGTTGAGAGCTTTTGAAATACGCTTTCTGCTTGCTCTATAACAACTTTATAGCCTATAAAACATGGATTGGTTTGTAGTTAAAATGCACTTGACCTGAGAAGCTTGATTCAACTTGAGTGTGAAAGGTCCAAGAAGGGGCCATGCATTCAGACCTGCTTGTTGCAGAATGCGCTTGCCCAAGGGCAGAACTGCTGTTAAGAAAATCCAGGCAGTGATAGGCTGTGGAGACGGCTCAGTGGGTATAAGCACCATGAGTGAGAGGGTGTGAGTTCGAACCACTGAGCCCGCACAAAGCTTGACACAGGTGTGTGTGTGTGTGTGTGTGTGTCCCTGAAGCTCCTATAATGAGATGGAAGTTAGGGGCAGGAAGATTCTCTTCAAGCTTGCAGGCCACATAGGCTGGCCTGTGTGGACACACAAACACACGATCACAAACACAGACACTGACACACACACCACACACACACACACACACACAGAGAGAGAGAGAGAGAGAGAGAGAGAGAGAGAGAGAGAGAGAGTGTCCTGAGTACTTACAAATGGCAGATACAGTCAGATTTCTTCCAGTGGCATCTACCCTGTGACCCTGCTATTGGTTCTACTGTAGGGAATGGCTGCTCTCTTGGGAGACGAGGGTCTTTTAAGACCCCAAAGGTCCAACCAGGCCATGATTTAAGAACCACATAGGTTAGATATGTTCACTACCCAAGGCCAGGACACCTGGAAAGGTCTAGATCAAACAATTGACCCCCAGAGATGGAGACAGGCTGGTTTTCAGGGCAAGTCTTCACTTCCTAAGTTGGCAAGCATCGGTCCTCTCTCTCTGGTCTAGGAAGTAGTCTGGCACTATATCAACAAGATGAGTCACTACAGAGATGCCCACTTCTTCCTTACCATTTTCCCCTCTATTTTCTCTCTAAGATGGAGAGATTGAGGAAGAAGAACTTGGTTTTAGAGTCTAAGTTGTGCTGCTGTGGATAGGAACATCTTTGGGGTATTGTTGAAGTCAGGCAAAAATGGAATGTGACAGTGAGTGAGGTTAACAGGACAACCCCTTCTGGGTAGCTTATCAACAAAAACATGAGTGGGCACTGGTCTGAGGATGCTTCTGTACCAGGTCTCTGAAGCCCCTGGGACCAGCCTGTTCTGTAATTGCCAGTTAGATGCCTTATAAAACAGAATAGTGCGGGTATTTGGTGTCTGTAGTATTCAGCCAAGTTTACTTGGTTAAATATCTTCCAAAACTACCGAAGACAGGAATAAGACATTTAAAATCATATGATGGCATGAGATGTGAGGCTATCCCTGTTAATGAGTAACATTTTTTATGTCGACTCATGACTTAGAAGGTAATTACAGTTTTCTCATATAATACAAAATGTCTCATAAAAACTGTCTCGTCTTGCTCTCACCTCTCTCAAAGTAACTGGAGATTTCTGCTGTCTGAACTCTTCTTTCTAATGAAAATCTCCAATGACTAATATTTATAAAATTGTGCTGGTCAACATAGTAGTCACTAGCTATGTGGGGCCACTGAGCGCTGGAGATAGTCTAGAATTGAGGTGGGTAGTATGTGTATAATACACGCTGGATTTAAATGACAATATGAGATGAAATTATCAAATACTCCATTAATAATTTCACATTGATTATCTGTCGAAATAGTATAGTGAGAAAACTTTAATATCTCATTAAAATTTTACATTTTGTTTTATCCTTTTAAATGGCACTACGAACAAGTTTTAAACTCTATGCATTGCTTGTGTATATTTTTATTAAATTATGCTTATCTTGAGATCATCTAGATAACGACATTAATCTGTAAGTTTAGGGGATGGAGAGATGATGGCTCAGTGGTTAAGAGCACATACTGCTCTTGCAGAAGCCCTGAGTTCCACTGCCGGCACCCACATTGAGTAGCTCACAGCCGCTTGTAACTTCAGCGCCAGGGGAAATGGTGCCCTCTTCTGGCCACTGTGGGCACCTGCATACATGTGCACATAACCCTCCACAGACACACACATACACACAATTTGAAATCATAATGATTAAGAGATTTAAATTTGCCTGCTTATCCATTGTTATTTAAATAATAGTGAATGGAACGAGGGTGAAACTTTTTCTTTTTTACTATGTTCATGCATGTAAAATGTTATTAGGAGTAAGGAGAGAGGGAGGGAGCAAAGTGGAATGAATGATATTAAGAGTGACTGCTTTTCTGTGGCAAACTGAACCAGACAGAAAACTCTGCCAGGAGCCTTTGAAGTCTGTGTTGAGTGAAAGACTAACATTTGTATCCCACTCTGCTTTCCTTCCTAGAGCATCATTATCGTCCTAAATCCCAAGTCGAGAACTAAAATTACACAGCTTTGGAGAACTCCTTGCCAAACATAGGCTCACGGACCCTCACACGGATGACCATTTTTACTGTGAAACTAGCCAGTTCTACCCACATGGGGCTCACGGTCAGACTCACTTTTGGTGAGCTTGGGGATAGTTGGGGTAGAAGCACTTGCAAGGGTCCTGAAGGCTTGCTAATTCTGACAACTAGATGTACTGGTTAGGCCGTATCGTACCTTCTGTGCACCATTCTCAGTGAGAAGACAGACTTCACACATTTTATTTCCAACCAGTCTGTGTAGGGGAAACGATCCCATTTCTTGGCATCTCTTTATTTGCCCTTTCAACTCCCATTATTTTAATTTCTCTCTTTGGGAATGCCACCATAAGAGCCAAGAGCACTACTTGCTGCCTCTTACTTGCCTTGGGACAACTTTAATACACAACCTTCCCTGATTTCATGCCATCTGACCTATATGCACAATGTGGGGACTTGAGGGTTCCCCAGCCTACAATTCCCAAGGAGATTGCTAGAAGGCAAGGCTGAGACTCTTCCCACCATATCAATAGAGTACAACAACTTCTGCTCACTGCTATTCTTGACATCCAGCACTCCACCCAGTTCCTTGGAAGAACTACTACCCAAATACCTTCATGTCCTCCTTATTATTATTTTTTATTAAACACCAAGTTCCTTTCGCTCCAACTCCCCTATAATGATGACCTATAATCTGGCATTGTGACCCAGATAAACCCCCTTTTTATTAAAAATAAATATACTCT